TGTTTGGATGGTAGTGTTAGGCTGAGTGAACATTTCTTGGAAATGACTCGTGATTCCGCCAACTATGTCTTGAGAGTTCAAAAGCCGTCGTCCTTTGGCATCGTTTATCGTGATGGGTTGTTGTTTCTTTCGTTGGAGCAGGTGCACAGCTTTGAACATGCGCGCGTCATCTTTCTGGTTCTCAATTTCCGCCACCTTACCGTCCAATAATCTGCTTGCATTGTCTCTGGCTTGCCTGCGAACTTGATGAGATAACTGGTTTTTGTGGAGTTTCAGACGTGCTGCTACTGCTGCATCAGGGGTATTCATCAGTTGAAGCCGGATTTTCCGCCTTTCTTGAACCATAGCCGTCAGCTGTGGGTCAGGTATCCATTTTCCTTTTGGCGGTCTTGTTGATGCTCCCAGGGTAGCGCTGGCCACTTCCATCACAGTCGTACGTACCCGATCCCATAGCTCCTGAGGGGCTAGCTTTGTTTCTGGCTTGCAGCTGCAGTGTTGGGTAATAGCATTTTCCAGAGCGGACTGATATTCCTTCCGTATGCGTGGATCGGACAGCCTATCCACAGCAATTTTCATGCCTACTCGCTGTTTCTTAGCGTGCTCTATTGGGCCCCACACACCACGCAACCGGTCCAGCTTCATTCGTGCCACAAGCAATCGGTGGTCCGAGTCCAGCAGGGTTCCAACGTAAGATCTGGCATCTGTGAAGAGCTGGCGCTGACGAGTGGAACACAAGATATAGTCTATTTGATTATAGATGGGAATGGGGGCTCCGCCACTTGAATTATTCTTTCTCCATCCTGTCCATGTTGTGCAGTGCCGTGCTGGGTGCTGAAAAGCGGTGCTGCAGGCGAATAGGGAAGCTGAGTCGCAATAGTCAGCAAGGACCTTGCCAGAGTAATTCTGTCGTCCTCTTCCGTATCGCCCAATGCATTGATGGAGTGATTTATTTTGTGTTCCGAGCTTGGCATTGAAGTCACCGAGTACGAGGAAGATATATGAAGATTTTACCTTGGCAACTGCAGCGTTGAGTGAGGAGTAGAAGTCGTCTAGGCAGTCTTGGTCCTGCGCAACTCTAGTCGACGTCGGCGCGTACACGCTGACGAGCGACAATAGTTTATTTTTTGACAGTCGAATTTGCAGAACGGCAACTCTATCCGACTCGCTCCAGATTCGATACACTCTATCGAGGAGCGAGTGGTGTATAGCAAAGCCGTTTCCATAATGTCGGCAAGTCGAGGAGAGGCACACAATCCTGTAGTCGCCGTGAACTCCGTCGTAGCCGTCTTGAATTTTCGTTTCTTGCAGAGAACAAATTTGAATTTTATAGCAACGCAGGTCCTCGGCCAGCAGTTGCTTTTTCGTGTTGGACGATAGACCACGAACATTGAGCGAACTTACACAAAAAAAAAAAAAAAAAAAAAACGTTTAACACCAGTAAATGCGTCCACCTACCCTTTCAAAAATATGCATTAGCTCCCGGCCCGTCATCCCCCTTGACAATGAACGGTGTGCCTATTCAGAAAGGTGATAGCCACTGTCATCTCGGCGTGACTATCACTCCTTCACTAAATTTTTCTGACCATATAAAATCTATCACCCATAAGTTTCGCAGTCGTGTTTTTCTGTTGCGACATTTGGCCCATTTCCTTTCTGCTTCAACCGTGAATTTGGTCTACAAGTGTTACGTACGACCACTGTTAGAATACGCAGTCCCTGTCTGGTCATTCGCCGTATCCCATTCAGATTCGCTTACGTTAGACCGACTGCAAGCCGTTGCTGCTCGTTCATATCTGCTTTGTAAGACCCGGCACCCTCCTGAGTGGGAAACCCCGAAGCAGATTCTTAATCGTACTTGTGACTGGTCATCCCTGAAGTGGCGTCGTCAGATTCTGTCCTTGCTGTATTTTCATCATGTCTTTTACCAGTTTCCGTCTTTGCTAATTCGTTTCAAATTCAATGTATCCCTTAGTTGTCGTCACCCGTCCTCTATAGTTTTACCTCGTTCTGGCGCCCATTTCCTTAAATCCCCTCTCTTCACTTTATCTGTGGAATGGAACAAACTTCCAGAACACATCCGCTGCGTTCAGTCCTCTGTCAATTTTCGCATTGCTCTAAAGGCTCATTACTCTCAGCATAGATATTCTCTGACTGGAATTCCGAACTTTTCCGTTTGAGACATTTTTTTTCCTTGAAATTAATCCTTGCTGGTTTTTTTTCATCAAAATGTCCCGCTATTATCTGCAGAGGTGATTTCTTCCCTCGTCGATTTCTTTCCTGCTTTTATACCTCGATATTTAGGTACTTGTTTCCCTTCTTCCCATGCTTCATCTTCCACTCTCCTCTCCCCCATTTCCCCATTTTTCTTGCGATATTTATGTGGGAGACTTCCGTGATAAGCATCCATTTGCTTTTGGAGAATCCTTTTAAATAAATACAATACAAATACAAAAACAAAAATGTGGGTGGGTATTTTAAGTACGATCATGACACCGTCAGCGACTAGTCGACTGTGCTTCGCTGTGCGTGCGTGCATGCGTGTGTGTCTGCGTGCGTGCGTGCGTGTGTGTGTGTGTGTGTGTGTGTGTGTGCCCGCTAGTTCGGTTGGTGGGTACACTTATGCCAGATAGTGTTGGGCCTGTTGCCAACGGGCTCGGCTGCTTGAAGGTGTATTGTTGTACCTACCACCTTTGTTGGTTTTAGGATTCATATACTTTCTATTTGAAGTATACATACCTGTTAACCATGGACTGCTTCTGGCTAGATTAACTCTTGTGTAATCAATGGTGCTAGTTAAGCTGATATCAGATCCACTCTGATTTAGCCACCCACACTAGTACCAAGTATTCCCTTCACTGGGGGCAGGGGTACCTGCAGTTGGATCCCGGGACGGATACCCTGATGCTGTCAATCCTTTTTCTGCACCTTGTCCTCACCCACTTACTGATGTGTGGTGAGCCCATAAGTGGGATCATTTCAAGTCCACCCTAGTTTGGGGATTTTCAGGGGGCCGTCGGGTGGTTCAATGGCCAATTGAGTCATCTTTCCAAGATTCCTTTTGAGTCTCTCTCCCCTCTCCCGGGGAGACCCACGTGACCAGTTTTGGCAGTGAGCAAGTACAAGTACAAGTGTGCGTGTGTGTGTGTGTGTGTGTGTGTGTGTGTGTGTGTGTGTGTGTGTGTGTGTGTGTGTGTGTGTGTGTGTGTGTGTGTGGTGTAGACCAGGCTGAATAGTGGCGGTCAATTCTTCAGCCTTGCAAGCTGTTGAATGGTGCAATCCCAGCACAAGCTGCTATGGCTTCTGCTGTAGCATCGCTATCATCGCCTCCTGCGATGGGCGTTCGATGGTCCAATGGTCCAATGGTCCAATGGTGTGTGTGTGTTGGAGTGCTAACAGAGGATAGCAGTCTTCAGTAACATTTCAGGCCAGACTTCGTGTGCCCCATATGTTGCAGTGGTATGTACAGTTGATTCCCTATCTGAATTCAAGCGTCATTTACGTATTCACATTGCGAAGTATCAGTTCGACTGCACTGGTACACCTTTGATGTGCAATCATTGATTTACATGCTTGTTCTTTTCTTTTCTGTTTTACTTCCTTTCCTTGGGTTTCTTATTATTCCTTTTTAAACGAACATTTCACACACACACTTTGCGCACTTTCTCTCGCATCCTTAACTATATTACTAGTACATACACAAATAGGAGATCCCCCAGATAGGCGTTAGGCTTTGGGTAATTCTGAAATAAAGATTATTATTATAATTTTCATCCGTTACGGATGAAAATGTCAAGAAGAGTATGGTCGAAGGTGTCTTTCTTCTCTTTCTCAGCCTACTCCTGATTTTTCTTTCATTCTAAAAAACCTAATCAGACGGGTCGTCCCTTCGGGAGCAGGGAGAGACATTCAAACGTAGGGTGAAATATTTCTTCTGAATCGGAACGAATCGAGTATTTTTCTATTAAAACGAACCGAACATCGAATAATCTATATGAATCTTAGTCCCCTTTCGCAACATAAAACACTTCTTACATATCACTCTATCCGTTCTAGAACTACTACGATAGATCGATACTTGAGCAGAGTGTGCGCACTTAACCGCACACTTCCTTGAAACAGTAACATTCCAAATGGGAAATATTCCTTCTATTGCGTTTCCAAACGAATGCCAATCGAATATTCAAATAATCCCTGCAAACCTATTTAAAAGCAACTTTTGACCGATCACTCTATTGCCTAAGCATGTTGAACTGCTGGCATTCCCTAAAATCCGCTACCTCTCTGTGATTTCCAGTCAAATGACCCTGGATAAGGAGACCACCTGGTAACAGAGACCACGTTTTGATGGTGAAGCGGTCGTCTTAGACAGGTTTTACTGTAAGTGCCCGTTCTGCGAGAAGCACAGCAAATCTTGACACTAACCAGAACGTCCCTTATATGTGGATTTTATTTTTTATTATTGCCAGATAATGCTCGAATTACTCGTATTGCCAGATTCTGCTTGAACAGCGGTGATAGTGGCAGAGTCAGGCACGCCTCATGGCAAGCACCTCTTGAATTGCGCTCCATCATTCCTTTAGCCACTCACCGAACATGCATGAAACATAGCAGAAAAGGAACCAAAATACTGCCAAATGTTTCTGCCGGCATTATCCGCCGCCATGCAAGGGCCTACCTACCGGGATGGCTGAGGCCGGTGGTGTGTTGAGGTGTCGAACCAGGAGTCCAGGTGCAGAAAGGGTCGCCCAACTCCTGACCATTAGTGAGCCCGTCCCCATCGCTGTCGAATAAGCAAATCTGTGTCCAATTGATGCCCTGAAACAAAAAGTACCCACCGAAAGTGTTCCCTGCAACAGGAGACGGATCAGAACAAACGTGGACTTGACAGGGACTCATAATATTATGATTTTCTTGATCACATGAAGGTATAAACCTCTCTAATACATGTACCGTAAACCGTGAAATTATTGCCATGGTCTAATTCCTGCGAAATTCGCGACCTCGTGGAAATCGCGAAATTTAGACAGCGCGAAAAGGAGATCCATGAACGGTTTAGCAAGAATGCCACAGGTTTAGCAAGAATGCCATTCTACAACCACAAAATTGAAACCTCGCAAACCTGTCCGGATTCTGAAAACGCGAACTAAAAACGCCGCGAAAATTTCACGCTTTACAGTATGTACAAACCGCAACAAGCATCAACCTGTCGAATTATTAGTAAGTTTGAGGGCAACTTCTTGGGTGGAGCTGAGAGCTTTTTTTTTGTAGATTGGAGGTGTTCCAGTGGAAACATCTACAAGGATAGGCAAGATTGGCATGAAATTTGGCTACTTTCTTTCCCAGTGTCAACGAAAATACGCAATGTATCACGGTGTAAAAGAGGCAAGAGACTGTGACGTCACTGTTGTCTGCATGGTGTTAGTATATTTCTGTTATAAAGAACTTCGGTGTAACAAACTACAATAGAAGTACAGATCCGGCTAGAGAAATCCGACTTTGTGATGTATTTGTGCAGGCGTTGTGGCCGGATTCCTACAAAAGCTTGTGAAAGCTCAGTATCGAATAAAAATACAAAAAAACAAAAAAAACAAAAAAAACCTTTTGATCAAAGTAGCGCCTCGCCGCGCCCAGTTGAGCAGAGTGGTGTATGTGGTGCTAGGGCCGTGTGGCCCATGGGCGCTATTATATCCGTGAGGTAGGATTTCTGTGGCCAGGAGTCTACACAATCATGTTATTCTCCTGCACACTGTATGGTGTTGGTTATATCTGGAGCCTACTGCACGATATTTCTACAGAGATGCATCGACCAATAGCTACCTCCGCCTGATGGTGGCCCTCCGCATTGGGCAACGTGGCCTATAGATTGACACGTCCTGGAGCAACATCATAAAGAGAAAGAGGAAGGAGAGAGAGAGATGAATAACTAGAGAGAGATTAGAGAACCTCTGCTTCATATACCTACGCCTTTTTTCTAATCTCCTGATGTTATCTGATGATTGGTTTTGCCATGAAACTCAGAGTAACAACGATACAGCCCTATTTTTGCTTCCTCTTGTGTACCTCTTGAGAAAGAGGTAGAAAGAGAGAGAGAGAGAGAGAGAGAGAGAGAGAGAGAAAGAGAGAGGGTAGATAGAGACGCAGGTAGATAGATAGATAGATAAATCCGTTGATCCCCGAGCAGCAGAGAGTGCCCAGTACCAGAGACAGAGCTTAGTAGCGGAGTGCCAGATCAAGGAGATAGTATACGAGGCCACTGCGGCGAATCTACCAGCACGATTTACATCTGTCTCTCAAAGCCCGTCACGCCAACCACCTCACCTCCATGAGTCACGAAAAATACAAAAATAGCACAGAGCTCGCAAAACACATCATTATGGGAGTTCAGAAGCGAAGGAAAACCGTTGACCATCACATGGAAGGTGCGGGAGAAGAGCGGGTCGTACAGATGTGAGTCCAAAAAAAACCTATGCAGCACAGAAAAATTCCACATCCTGACAACACTGAAGAAGCTCCTGCTCAATACACGGTCTGAGATGATCTCGAAATGCAGGCATGAAAATAATTTCCATCTCGCAAATGTCACACCTATCAAATGAACTGACCAAGAACTGCACTGCATTTTGACTGAGCACCCCAATATTACTAGAATAACACAGTCACAGGGCCTGTTGCTGGCTATGACTCTGCTCACACCTGCCCGCACCCAAAGACCTCCTAGCGATCTCACTGGCCCATTGCCCGCCATCCTCCTGGCACCTCCAACCATCTCCTGCACACTGCCTCCCCATCGCCTCTGTGCGCGCTTTCATGCTCACCCCTGCCTGTTGCCCGCCACCCTCCTGGCACTTCCACCCGCCTGTTGTCTCTTCAAGCGCCTTGGCCCGCGCCAGCTTTCTCTCCATATCTCACACCAGATTTAGCGCTAAATTTGTTTGTGCTTGTTGCCCAATGTGTTTATAAGCATGCTGCTGGGGAGATCTCAGTATCAGTTGTCTGATGATTGCCTCGCGGCATGAAACTCAGAGTTGCAATCAACCTGAACGTCCTCCGCTGAGTCTGCGATGTAGATAGATACTCAGATAGATAGATAGATAGATAGATAGATAGACAGATAGATAGACAGATAGATAGACAGACAGACAGATAGATAGACAGACAGATAGATAGACAGATAGATAGACAGACAGACAGATAGATAGACAGATAGATAGGTGGAAAGAGAGAGAGAGAGAGAGAGAGAGAAGGAGAGGGAGTGCCCCGTGGCTGCGTGGTTCAACATGCCTTAGTCCTTGAAGAAGAAACTCGTTCTATCTGATAGACATACCATGTCTTATAGGTTATCAGCACTGCACCGCGTTCTAGGCAACGTTTCACTGGATCAGTAAAGTGGAGGCATAACAGGTGCCGACTGCAAGCAACACGCAACACGAGTCGCGCGTCTCAACCGGTACGTACTTCAGTACTAGCAGTATACTGTAAAGTAGCAATGACATTCCTTTGCAATGTGCAATTCCCCCTATTCCTGTTATGCATTAGAAATTAGAAGTAAGACAGGAACACAGACATGGCCCTACCCCCATGGAATGTAACCCGTATTCGGTATACTGTATCGGCCGTATCCGTACTACTCTTTACGAATTGGATGAAAAGAAGAATCAACTACAGCTTGACAAGCGGCGAACAAGGCGTACATGTAATCATACGTTTTGCTTTTACGGACGTTTATCCGGCAAATCTACATGATGCGATTGACAGGAAGTATGTTAATTCATTGTATGTAAAACCTGAAAAAGGAATAGAATGATTGTTGACTAGCAGAGGAGGCTATGATGATAAATAATAAGGAGACGGGAACCAGCAACGGCGAGTCTAGTAACTTGGGGTTGGCCGTTATTGAAACCGGTGTGGCTGGTTTATTATTATTATTTTTAAACTCAATCTCGTAGCATGTGCACGCATTGCTAATGTGGGGAGCAACCCCAGAGCTGAGGGCGATAACCAGCCATGGTAAAAGTACAAAAAAAAACAAGAAAACAGTGGAAAGAAAGGAACAGGGAGGAAAACAAAGCTCAGCCAAGAAAGGAACAGGGAGGAAAACAAAGCTCAGCCAATTAAGTGAGATAGCCGGATATTACATTGTTTAGCTAAACACGCGTGAGTGCTGCAGGAAAACGCAACTCAGTACAAACAACTTGGCGAAACTGAGACATGCTGTGGCAGTGTTGGGCGAGGCTTGATAGCTTGAGCCAGTCAGAATAGGAATGAAACAAAGGGGATTTTGTAAACTGGACAGTGCGAGCTGCAGGTAGCGGGACTTGTGCCCTTGTTGAACGGCTACGCACAAACCAGTCATAGGGAAAAAGATGCCTTGGTACTTTCTCGAGTTTTATCTTTTGAATTAGCATGTTGCTGTGGAGACTGCGTCGAATAGAAAGGGGGCAAACACGAGCGAGAACATAGAGTTGCGCAGAGGAGAAATCACGGGGCAAGCAAAATAGCATTTTTAATAATTTTCGTTGGCAAACTTCGAGCTTGTCTGATATCGTGGTTGATAACCCACACCACGCTACGTCACAGTAGTCGAAGATCGGACAAATATACAAAGAGAAAAACAGAGATCTACAGTCGTGAGGCAGATAACGGCAGTGAGGCTTCAGAGTTCCTAAAATTCTGGATGCTTTAAGGCAAATATGGTCAGCATGTTCGGACCATGATAGCTTCGAGTCAAGAACGATTCCCAGGTGCCTGTGAGAAGTTACAACTTCCAGGGCCTGGTTTATAACCGAAGTGCATTTATTATTAATTTTATTAAATAAATAATAAATACATTTCCGGGAGTGAGGCAGAATTGCCACCCTTCCTTATGCCATTCATGAAACCGTGCAGAGAATGAAGTGAATGAGAGACAGAGACCAGTACAATGCTGTTTTACTGAGGCGTTTCGGGTTTGCTTGATTCTTGTTTGCAGAGTTTCTCCTTTTATTGATCTTCGCATCTTTGAGCCACACAAGTTGTGTGGAATGTTGCTTTGCGTTCTTGAATCGTGGTTTGACCGTATTGTCCAGTGGTCTTGCCAGTATCGTCATCGTCACGCATGTATATCCGCCAACATCCTTCGCAGCCTTAGCCTTTCAGCTCGTGCTTGTCTTGGTTGCGCTCACCTTCCCTTCCTATATTATCATGTAACTTAGAACCATCCACGTTGGAAGGCTGTTGGAGTGCGCATCCAAGACGTGCTAGAGGTGATAGCCAGTTATAGTTGTAGAACGTCAGTACCGTTGGTCAGTGTTTGTGCATTGTTATCGCATGAGCTGATTGTTCAGTAACTGGTGGTGTTAGTGGACATTATAGCCTAGCTTGTAGTTCCTTGGTCATTTTTCTTTTCTATTAATTTTAATACATGAGTTTGTTTGATGATACACTGTGTAATGTGCAATAATTCATTTTGCACATGCAAGAGGCTTTTTTCATTAGTTAAGGACGACTACACATTTCAAATGTTTTCGTACTCACTGATTTATCTCCCCGAAAGGTGCAGGGACCAACGAGGATCCCACACCTTCACTGACCGTTCCAAGGTTGGGTATGAGCGGAACGAATATGGGAAACGCCGCGACGTGATGTACATGTACCACGACTACAGCTAGGAACATTGACGACCTCATGACTGCCTTCTGCATGGACGGTGAAGCAAATCTCCCAACTGAACACGACGACCAATTACATTTGTACTTGAAGTACAAGCAGGAACATTAACCATGCAGCGGCATTGTAAGGCTGATTCATTCACAGAAACCCTGCCGGGTTCTTGGAGCAAGTCAGAGTCGACGTTCGAATGTGAGCACTACAGTGGAGGAAGCGTTTCTTGCTCCGTCCTCCAACCATCTGTGAACTACTGAAGGGCTAACTTGGCAAGGTGGGGGGACTGGAGCGTTAGTGCGCCTGTGTTAGTGTGGGGATTTCGACCCAGCGCGAGATGCAGCCCGGGGTATACATGGCACATGGTCTTACGATGGTAGCTGCTGCTGTCTTGTGCATGCTTCCGCTACTGTTGCAGCCTACAGTAATAATTCAAATCTAGCGACAACTCCAGTGTACAATAGATACAACAATAAATGTGCTGTAGTATACAATCCATTGTGTATACAAGTACAGGACAATATCACTCTGGTGATATGTGTACCAACAGTGTACGTTGGTAAGTCACGGATTCGCAGGCGTGGCACTCAGTTTTCTCATGGCATGACTGAATACCGCGGTACCGGCACTTTGAGTGGAAGAATAGAAAGTGCCCGTATCACTTACTATCGCTATAATACATTGTAGTTCTGACAGATGTTGTGTTGACATTTGGGCGAAGACTTCACCAAGGATCTAATCAGAATCTGGTTGCTAGCGATCTGGCTAAGTGCTCTTTTTCATGTACATGACTGTACATGAACAGGCATAGTGGTGGCCTGCGGAAGCGAAGGCTATAGCTTGTGTGTTTCTGAACATTCAAGTGATGCTAACGCGGATCCCGTGAATATTAAATTATTTATGTACAGTCATGTAGATTGTACTACGTTGTGTCAGTGCTTACCGGATCTAGGCTAGCCATAATTATGCCTACTGCAGTGCTGGGGACCGTACGTGCAATGAATATACATGACAGTACGATCGATTCTCTGCTCAGAAATCAAGTCGACACTCATCGCAGCGAGATGGATTTCATCGCCTGTATTGGTGCTAACTCTTGTACTGGCTTCAGGTTAGCGCCATGACCGATGATAGGTGTGACGTGAGTACGCTATGTGCCCCAGACGGAGGTTCAGTATAAGCAATACAGTCCCATTGCCCTCTGTACTGTACGACTCGTGCACTGTCGCCACTTCCATCCAATATGCATCATGAACAATGGACTGACTAACTATTCACTTGTCCTGTCTTTCTAAATAACATGTTATTGCACATGTTCTTCGTTTAGTTTTTGGCCTTTTTTTCGTGCTTTGGGGTTACTTGTTGTTTTTGGAGAGTTCATCTTTATGCTTCTTAAAAAAAATAATAATAAGGGGATCGGTCTATACTACTCCCTGTTCACAAGAAAAAATCCAATATGCTTCCGCCCCAGCTGTGCAGCATCTGATGGTTCTATGGTATTAAAACATGTTGAACTAGGATGGTGAGGCAATTAAACAGAATGATTCTTTGTGCCATCTTCAATAGGTCCGTCAAAATACAGTAGTAATAGGTTTTTCATTTTGACCCGACGAGACCATACGACGCTTGCAGATCACAGCACGAACAGTTCACCAGCCACACTCCACGAAAGCAAGTAGAAGTACTCCTGACAAGTCTTGTTTCGTTCCATAGAGATAATAACGGGGAACTCATCAGAGCTCATCTCTATGGAACGAAACAAGACTTGTCAGGAGTACTTCTACTTGCTTTCGTGGAGTGTGGCTGGTGAACTGTTCGTGCTGTGATCTGCAAGCGTCGTATGGTCTCGTCGGGTCAAAATGAAAAACCTATTACTACTAAACAGAAATGTTTATTTCTCGTTGGCTGAGCGAAGCGAAAGAAACGAGAAATCTAGTTCTCTGTTAATATTTTTTGCACGTGCGTGCGGAACGGGTACGAGGGCAGTGTGCTGTGGTTGAAAGTGCTGTTGCTGTGATTCTGCAGATCATTGTTTTTCTTCTTGCCAAGTGTGCAGCTGCCCACCCACCCACCCACCCTGGTCAACTGTCTTCTTAGTGTGCGCTGCCGTTATCCGCTGTAGTGTGTGCTGCAGACTGTAGTCGTGTGACTCATGATGCTCTGGTCTATATGCCTATAACTCTTCGCTTGGCGAGTTTTTCGTACTTCAAAAACGAAGTAGTAAAGCATGGTTCCTGAAGCCTATAGCCTAGCAAATGCTGAAGCTGCCGTTGCCTTAGTTTTCTGCCTTAATCTTAGGTATTGCTGACAATAAGTTCGGGCTACAGCGCTGGCTCTCTTCCAAGGCGCATAGCACCATTATCTAGCTATGGCAAGAAGTCTTGTGCAGCAGGTCTGCATTCACCGCATGTTCAAATGGCTGCTGTGTGTGATAGAGCTGGGTGTGCATGCTGATGCTCGTGCAAACAAATTTGGAGCAGAGAATGAGTTGTAGAATGATTTGAAAGATGTAGCAGGGTTCATTGTTTTACTAGGGCACTGTTGTTTGTTTGTTTGAAGTTTTATTTTACATCGCAAACCAAACGGGCGTTGATGCCCAATATTATGATGGCGATAGAATAAAAAGTGTGGCTCGATAAAGCTTCACTTGCGAAAATGAGAAAACAGTCAAAAGGAAGTATTTGTACCGGTAATTACAAGTCAAGTTCGAACGAAGTAACAAGCAGGGAGAAATAGGAAGATGAGGACCTGTGATGCACAGGGACGTGGGGGGGGGAATACAGAAGATGCATAATTTGAGCATGAGGCCAAAACAAAAAATAGGCTTGTTTCCGGTCGGCAACCCCTCAAAAAGGAGACTCGGTCGGCCGGAATGAAATTTTTTTTGGATACTTTTTTTGGTTCCTCAATCGTTGTGGTATTGATGGACAAGAGCACCTACACATGTACATTGTACATATATCATGGCAAGGATCAATGTCAAAGTTGACTGACTCACTGTTCTTGTACAGCATGTGGTGTATTCCTGTTTTCGTACATCCTGAAAAATCAAGCAAACAGTTCGAGTCCTTCCAGCTCCGTTATTCTAGCTCGTATCGACCCCGGAGGTTTTCGAGCCGACAGCTGAGAATCTCTGCTACCTTGTAGTTGTTTCGATTGTGGAATTCGGTTGAGATTTGACTGAGTTATGACTCATTGAGTGCACTTGCACACATGGCATTGCCACCGTTTGTATACATTTGGGACCAAAAAAAGTTTCAGAATTTGGGAAAAAGTGGCCCGATCGGGCGACCGGAAACAAAGTCATTATTTGTTTTGGCCTGACACATTCACGCGCACATCATACTTGCTTGAGGGGTGGTACCACATATTTAGCTTAGACACAAGATATCATACTAAGTCCATATTCTTCGTGTTCCGTTGCATCCACAATATCTGCAGTTCACTCCTCTCTGACATGTTCTCCCTTCGCCGTGACTGCGCTCACACAGATAGAGTCACCCGCGGCCAAGACAATAATTGCCTTTATTTACCCATTGTGCAAACTCAAGCTGAATACAAACCTATTTCATTCCTTGGTGCTGACCGCTTTAATGCGCTTCCCGAATCCCTTCGCATTAATCATATCCCCAATTCATTTCGCCAGGAACTTAACAAATCCATTCATCTTGGGCACCCTGTAAGAAGACCGTAGGGTCTGTTGGGAATGCCCAAGTAAAATAATACAATACAATACAATACAACCGCGCCGGACTACTGGCACGCTGGTGTAGCGAAGAAGAAAAACAGAAGTACAAGAGATTAGTATGAACCACGACAGTCCGGCATGGCGGAAGGAAATGGCCAAACTTAATAGCATCAGTTCAGGTTCCCATACTTGTACATCAATTTTGCATATCATGAAGCACATGCATCCTCTGAGCTACATAATCTCCGCTTGGGTATCAGAAGTTCACAATCCCTACAGATTCTCGTTCTGGAAGGGAAAACAGACAGAGTATCGTCCGACCAGTAGGGACGATGTGCTACAGTTATTATCACAATCAAAGGTCGTACTGCAATCACCAGCCTGCGCTCGCTGCTGCCAACATACATGTATACAATCATGCTGTTGTTGACCATCTAACAGCAGAAAATACACATAACGAACAAAACTCTCCTGGAAATGCTTCCTCCCACAAGCGCAGGCGTATAATTATTACATGTGTAATGAAAGGTAAGTTAGTTTTATATTAATTTTGCACCACCATGCAACTGCACTGGAGAGTCAGATTTCTTTGGCCTCAACCCATGTACAAATATTTCTAGTGGATGCATGTATGCATTGCCACATTGGAGTTTCCCAATGTATTGTACTTGAATAGAATTCTATTTTACCTTTCATGGTATCTCAATTTTTTCACGTCTACATGACTTTATTTTGACCGTAAAAGAGTTACCCCGAAAAAATTGCCACCGACATCACTCGTATTATTGTTCGCATACATGTACATGTACTGTACACTGTACTTCATTTGCATGGATTCTCCACAGTCCAAAGAGTCTCCGTCAACGGCTCATGAAGAAGGTTATGACGAGCGAGTTGCAGCTAATTGAAGGAGCACTAAATAAACCTACATTGTAAATTTTTCAGTCCTAGGAGCAGCTGACAGGATCTGATGAGTGATACTGATACGCATGCAGGGAAAGGGAAGCTACAAAGAACGTTGCTTCGACTCAGAGTGCTGGGGATGTCATTTTTTTTACTATGTTCACATTCCCAGCTCGAAAATAATAAAGAAAGACAATGATACTGAGACTAGGACGAACGTGACAACTATTGAGCAGGGGCTGCACCGAGACGCAGCAGTGATGGTGGGGCATTGATGGCTCTGCCGACCTGAGGTCGCGGCATCACGGCCAAAAACACGCACCAAAAACAAAAGATAGAGCTGTACGAGTCAGCAAAATGAAAAGAAAGGAAGGGTTAACACCAGCGAGTGTACGTGTGCGGGAGAGACTGTAAGACTATCATGTACATGTACTCGCAGATTCCGCTCGATTCAGCAGTGACTTTGGTGAGCGTTTCTACGAATTCTTCTCTCCTTTATCAAACTACCAAAGATTCCTGAAGCATAGCAGATACACATTCTATCGGTTTTTCTGCTGGCATTATCCGCAGCCGTTGCATTTCAACTAGTTCAAATGGACTATTTGCTCGGATTGGGATGTCTGGCATTTCAGGTCTTGTAACTTTGTGGACGACGAGGACACTGCATATTAATAATGTCAACAACTAGAGTATTCTTCTCGAGAGCTGTAGCCTGCAGCATGCGAATATGCGCAGGCACGGTGTCTGGTGTATGTGTAGCGTATAGCGTA